AAAAAACAGTAAGAAAATTGATGAGTTTAAACACAGATATAAAGGTATGTGTCAATCAAGATATGGGCAAGAACAGGCTTAATGATTAACCAGATGGGAGTGTGGATGTAGAATATGTATCCATGTAGTAATACTGCTTGCAAACCAATGATGATAAGATGATGTTAGGGGGTAGGACTAAATAAGTCTAATTTCTTCCTACTCCGTTCAAGCATGTACTAGGTATAAGCAAATTGAAAATATTTTTGTGGATATGTCTGGAATTACGCGTGATTACATACTGACTGTTGTTACATGTTTGAAAGAATAAATAAATCAAATCAAATCAAACAACATGAGTGCAGTGTGGGTGGAGGGCTCCAGGGGCGGGATTCAGTACACATGTGACTTGAGGCTGACAGCCTCGGGGTTGGAGAACACAAAAGCAAACAGGAGGGTGGATATGAGATCAGACATGAAGAAGAGATTGTTCAGCAGAGGGACCCGTGGGCTGAACCGATGAGGAGAAATTCTAGGATAGGCAGCAACTGTGAAGATAGCAGAGCCATTTGGGAGGGCAGTGGCAAAATCCATGGCAGAGCCACGTGGGAAACCAAAGGTGACGTTTGTGGCAAGCAGCTCAGGAGGACAGCGACATGGATGAGCTCCCTATGGGGGTGAACTGGAGACTGGCAAAAATTGGAACCCCTCTGGAGAACAGACAGCATGTTAGTGTCAGGCTTGGAACCTATCTGGAGGGCAAGCTGGGAACCACTGAGCTGGAGGCTGGCACTGGGAGGACAAGCAGGACAAGCAAAGATTTGGGAACCAGAGCAGAGGTTCAATTCCAGGAGCATGGAGCTGGCAGATGGCAACTGGGCAGCTGGGGACCTGTTGTGATGGCAGGGATGCTGTATAGTAAGCAGACTGGTTAGTCAGGGACTAACAAGACGTCTGCAAGGCTGTGGTTTTATGATGCTGTAAAGCTGTTCTCAGAGGTGTTGAATGACTGTGGCTTGGGAGTACTGAAGGACTGAGGTTTAGGAGAGGTGTTGAATGACTGTGGCTTGGGAGTACTGAAGGACTGAGGTTTAGGAGCACCCTGGGCCTAGAGCTATTTTTATTTCTATTTATCTCATTTCACAATGAGCATTTGTCTGTCTGCATTGTTTACTGCCTGTTTATACTGTTTATTTTGCATTGTTTGCACTGTTTGTTGCTTGTTAATACTGTTTACTTTGTTATACTACACAGCCTTATGCTGGTTTACTGTTTACTTGCCCCTTGCATGGGGATATGTACATGCACATTGAGAACCAATGTACCAGAGTCAAATTCCTCGTGTGTTCGACACACCTGGCCAATAAAGCTGATTCTGATTCTTCTGATCTAGACATCGCAACTAACATAGTAGCTCAGTGTTCTAACATCCGCAAATGCTACAGCAAGGGGGAGCCAAGACAAGATATCATCACCCCCACAATTGGAGATTGGGTACCAAGCCCCAGTAACAGGCCCAAATGAGCTTAGTACAAGAGCAGCTGACCTGAGATTGAAGATCCCAACCAAGATGGACACCTGGAACCTCCGTGGCCAGTTACCAAGACTAAGTGAAGTACCTTCTGAAAGTCTACTAGAGGATGTGAATGCAGCACTAAGAACAATCCCTACTACGACATCTTCTGGTAGAGGACCCGAGCTTGAAGGAAGGAAAGACCACCCCAAAGTGGGGAGAGTGGGGAAATTTTATATATATAATTTTCCTTTTCAAACCCCATGGGTGGTGTGTGTGTCTTCCTCTACCAGAGGCCTGGGAGTTTGAGGGTTTTGTGCAGTTTTTTAGCTGTTCTTAGCACTGCACTCTTCTTGGACAAAGAGCTCTGATGTTGTTCCTGGGATCTGTTGGAGCCACTCTTCTGGCTTAGGAGTCACAGCCCGAAGTGCTCCTACCACCACTGGAAATACTGTGGCCTTCACTTTTCACATCATCTTCAGTTATATATACTGTATATAAGTAAACAAGGGAATGAATGGGGGTGCTTGCAACCTGGACAAAGAAAGAGTCCACAGACAAATAATGGCTGGAATAGTCTTATATAGCACTTTTCTATGCATCGTAACACACTACAAGTGCTTTACACTATTTCCCAGTCACCCATTTGCACACTGTTGATATCACCAGGAGCAACTAGGGATTCGGTGTCTTGCTCAAGGACACCTCAACACAGGGACTGGAGTAGCCGGGGACTGAATTGCCGACCCTACAGATAAAGGTCGACCCACTCTACCTCCTGAGCCATAGCCACCCCAAATAGGATGTGACCATAGACTGGCCAAAATCATAGGCCTGAGATAAAGGCTGTGTAAGGGACTGCAGAGGACCCTGGCTGGCTTCAGTTGCTGTGTTGATAGTTCTCTCATTCACGGACTGCCAGTGGAAGAAACCAAGTCAAGCCAAGTCAACTCCCTGGTACAGTACATCCACCGTGATGAACAGATCCTCATTTCTTAATATAATCTTTAAACAGCACCTGTTAAAATAGCAAACAGTGTAATTCCCAGTCCTGGGTCCAGTTTTACTGCTGTCTTTACTAAACGGAGTCAACTTGTCACAACCTAGTGTTTGTATGAAATACATTCATATCGAACTATTTTGCAGTAGCAAAATGATTTCGGGTAAATATAAGCTGCTAGGATTACATTTCCTCATATTGATAGTACTGTAGAGTATCTCAAAGGGCCAAAGGGTCAAAGGGTTTATTTGTCATATGCACAGTTAGGAAACGTGTTTCCCTGTACAATGAAATTCTTTTCCGTCCACATGAAAGCCACAAAATACAAATGAAATATTAAGTAGATAAATAAGTAACACAAAATTTAAGGCACTTTAAGCAGCAAATGCAGCAATATAATAAAAACATATAAGAAAATAATAAGAGAATGTATGCTGCATGGGAGAAGCATGTGCAGCAGTCAACAGTCAATGTGCATCTATAATTGTTCACTACCAATCTGTGCATTACAATTAAATTATTGATAAGACAAACAAAAAATGTTGGCTACAAAAAGCAACATTTTTAAATTTTTGCTCCAGAACCGAATGTTGTAATGATATGATTAGTTAGGGTTAAACAACTATAACTAGCTACAGATAGTGACCGTAGGATTTGCAAAGTAGACAAAGCAGGCAGTGGGAAGGATGCGACTATATTTTATAAAGTATTTTATAACTCCTTAATAGCTCGCCATCAACTTAACATTCAGACTGATGATAGATAGTAGAGTAAAGAAAATGTAATTTTCTCCTGTAAAAGCTAAATGTTTGCTAAAATGTTAGTGGTTCTTGCTTATTGATGTTTTCCACTAAGTATTTGTATGTGTGTCTACAGTGCAGCTGGCTGTGAAGGAAACCCAGAAAGGAGCTTTTTATAACCAGGGCCAGTCCTGCACAGCTGCATCACGTGTCTTTGTGGAGGAGAGTATTTATGAAGAGTTTGTGAGATGCAGCATAGAAAATGCCAAGAAGATTGTTACAGGAGACCCACTAGACCCCCAGACATCACACGGACCACAGGTACAACCACACAATCAGCATCAGAGAATACTAACTGATAAGTAGGAATTAACACTGCAGTAATTTTTGGAGGCAGCAAAACATGTTGTAAACATGACACTGACATACAGTATCTTCAACTTTTAAGTGTATATGGCAAACCTGTCAGCAAAATGTTGCTCATATACCTCTCCAGCAGATACAAAGCAACATTATTATTGATTTGCAGTTGTGTCTCTGGTTATCTGGCAATTTAAGTTCAATGTTCTCTTTTTCCTTGCTCAGTTTCTGGTTTTTCCCAGCTCATGATATAAATATCGGGATTTGTTACTTGGTAAATACTCCACTGTGTTTACTAGCCCTACTGTCATCTACTGTGTTGGACACAGCACTGGAAGACACCATAAAAATGCTCCAGGATGCAACTCTAAACTGCTCTTTAATGGAGGAGGATGGGTTAGCAAAATGACATTTGTTGAAAAAAGTCTTGAACACTGAAGTCCTTTTGCTTGTAAAACTGCTGCTTGAAAATACTTCTGATAAATCATAAATCTCACCTTGATTTGATTTATTCTTTCAAGCATGTAAAGACAGTTGATATGTCAACACACATAATTTTACACATATCCAACAAATGCTAATCCAATATCAATTTGCTTATACCTAGTACATGCTTGAATGGAGTAGGAAGAAGTCAGACTTATCCAGTCCTACCCCATGAATACAGCAGACAAGAAGGATCTAATGGTACTTACTGATCTCTGGTCAGGTTCAGGTGATGAGCCCTTCTCTGCAATTCTTCTCCTGTAAGACAGAGTCCAGAATTATTTCTGAAAAACAGTTGCTATTTTTAAAAACATATCATCATGTTTAATGTTAATATCATAAAGCACAGACCACACAATTCCTCCTGAACTCCACATTTTTAAAACCTAAATTCCTTAGATTTCTCTAGATCTTACAGTGATACTTCTCTGTCAGCAACAAAGTGCATTTAAATTACGATTTTACTACATATCATCTCATAATACTGAGGAATAGTGAGAGTGATGAGTACATGAACTTATTCTTCAGGTGGCACAACAAAATCCATTGCGACCAACATTGGGGTTTGCTAAATCTACTGTATGGCAACTGTGTCAAGTTTCACTTTTCTGTAGTATATGAAACAAGATCTGAAATTCATTCATATGACTCAAGTGCCTATTTTGAGACGTACTGAATCGAAGAGTAATATATGATGTGTCGCTACCTCCTTGCTAACAGGGCACTCATCTCCTCCATGAGCCCTCCTCCTCCAGGCAGAGGGCCGTTGCCTCTGGCTTCAGATTTGGCCCCTCCAGCCCCTGGCATGGCTGCTGCCAGAGCGGCCGCCGCCTTCCATATTCAGAGATAGAATATTACTGTCACACCATTTCTTTATCTTCTCAAGTTCCTGTGAAACCCGTCCAGAGAGTTGCTGTAGGTTTTCACCCGATGCCCATATGGTAGTGTCATCAGCAAACAAAACCACTTTCACTAAATCAGAAACCTTGCATATATCGTTAATGTATAATATAAATAATTTAGGTCCCAAAACAGAACCCTGAGGCACTCCACATACAATATCCAGCTCACTCGATTGGTATTCACCCAACTTCACAAATTGACGCCTCTGTGTCAAATAACTACTAATCAATTTCTTCTTCTAAACCTTACACTTACTTGTCCTATTTGTTTTGGGAATGGGCTCATTACAGTGCACTACAGTGATGAGAAGTGGGCTACTGGAACAAGACATTCATGGACAAGAGAGGAGAACAGGGAACTATTGGAATGCTACTATACAAGTAACCCCAGTGAGAGGGGTTACATACGGAGGATGTGGGACCTATGGATACTTCAAAACCCAACATTCAACAGTCAAATTACTCGTGTGTCCGACACACCTGGCCAATAAAGCTGATTCTGATTCTTCTGATCTAGACATCGCAACTAACATAGTAGCTCAGTGCTATAACATCCGCAAGAAGCACCTGCTATCACAACTAGAGATTGACGAGGCACAACACGAATGCTCCAGCAAGGGGGAGCCAGGACGACAGGTCAGGGGGGAGATATCATCACCATCACCCCCACAATTGGAGATTGGATACCAAGCCCCAATAACAGGCCCGGATAAGCTTGATTCAAGGGCTGCTGACCTGAAACTGCAAGGCAACATAGCAGATGTTGAGGATAGCTACAAGTGCCTTGGGATCCCGCAGGCAAATGGGAACCATGAAGAGGCCACAAGGAAAGCAGAAACCACCAAGTACCTGCAGAGAGTAAGCCAAGTCCTGACAAGCCAGCTAAATGGAAACAACAAAGTCCGGGCTGGTCATCAGGTACCCCGCTGGCATAATAAGCTGGCCAAAGGAGGAGATAGAGGCCACTGACATCAAGACAAAGAAGCTCCTTACAATGCACGGCGGGTTCCACCCCAAGTCCAACATCCTGAGACTGTACACTAAGTGGAAGGAAGGAGGCCGAGGATTAGTGAGCGTCAGAGTCACTATCCAGGATGAAACAACAAAGATCCACGAATACATCAGGAAGATGGCCCCGAGTGATGACGTGCTTAGTGAATACCTCAGACAGCAGAAACCAGAGGAACTAGGGAAGGAAGAGCAGGAACCCTCATGGAAGGCCAAACCTCTGCACAGTATGTCCTACCATCAAATAGTAGAAGTGGCTGATATCGAAAAATCCTACCAGTGGCTGGACAAAGCTGGACTGAAAGACAGCACAGAGGCACTAATCATGGCAGCACAAGAACAAGCTCTAAGTACAAGATCAATAGAGTCAGGGGTCTACCATACCAGACAGGACCCCAGGTGCAGGCTGTGCAAAGATGCTCCTGAGACAATCCAGCACATAACAGCAGGGTGCAAGATGCTAGCAAGCAGCGCATACATGGAATGCCATAACCAATGGCCGGCATAGTGTACAGAAACATCTGTGCCGAGTACAGGCTAGAAGTCCCAAAGTCAAAATGGGATACACCTCCAAAGGTGGTTGAGAATGACCAAGCTAAGATCCTGTGGGACTTCCGGGTACAAACTGACAAACTGGTAATGGCCAACCAACTGGACATAGTAGTGGTGGACAAACAGAGGAA